ATTAACACTCCTCTGAGTTACCTCAATCCCCCTCTCATGAACAAGAAATCCCAAAAACTGGCCAGCCGATACACCAAAAGCACACTTTGTCGGGTTCATCTTTAGGCCATATTTCCTGGTTCTCTCAAAAACCTTTCTCAAATCGGCTCTGTGGTCTCCTATTTCTTTAGACTTAACAACCACATCATCAATATTGACTTCAACCAACCAGCCGATCAAATCATGATATATATAATTCATAGCTCTTTGGTACGTAGCTCCAGCACTCTTTAAGCCGAAAGTCATTACAACCCACTCAAACAAGTCGATTGCACCAGGATACCTAAAGCCGTCTTGTGGATATCTTCTTCAACCATAAAGATTTGATTGTATCCTGCATTACCATCCATAAAACTCAAAATCTTGTGTCCCGAGGCAGCATCAACCAGCTGATCGGCTACTGGCATTGGATATTCGTCTTTCGGGGTAGCTTTATTCAAGTTTCGGAAATCAATGCACACCCTGACCTTACCGTTCTTTTTTATCACAGGAACTATAGTAGAAACCCACTCAGCATCTCGGCAAGCACGAATAAAACCAGCATCAGACAATCGTTTAATCTCAGCCTTGACAGGTTCAAGCATATCGGCTTTGCATCTCCTTGGAGGCTGTTGGTGTGGCCTAACCCCTGGTTTGATAGGTAGCCGATGTTCAACAATCGATCGGCTAAGTCCTGGCATCTCATAATACTCCCAAGCGAAGCAATCTCTGAATTCTTTCAATAACTCTATCAACTTGGTTCTAAACTCTGCAGATAAATTCTTACTAATAAATGTCGGCCTTGGTCGATCACATGGACCTATATCAATTTCTTCCAAATCATCAGCCGACATAAAACCCTGTTCTTGCTTGTCATCGAGATCATCTACTGTGTCCTTGGTGTAGACGTTTGAACCCTCCACGACGCCCTCAAAATAATTGCTTGGGTTCTCCATATTCAACTGGCTATATATTAGAATCGGACACTTTTAGAATATCTCCATCCCAAACTTTCCCGGACAAACAATGGGGGGATCCATCTCCCAAAGAGCCAAATCGGCACTGGCAATATTTACTGACCTGTCGGCTGGCACAATTTCAATCTTGTCACCTTGCCATTGAATTAAGCATTGATGCATGGTTGAAGGAATACAACAATTGGCATGAATCCAATCCCTTCCAAGCAACAAGCTGTAAGAACCCTTCAAATCGATGACAAAGAACGATGTAGGGATGGTTTTGTTGCCGACTGTCAACTCCACATTCAGAATTCCTTTAGTCTCTAATGGATTGCCACTGAAGTCCTTGAGCACCAGGTTCGTCTTGATGCGATCTTCAGTATTTCTGCCCAATTTCCTAAATGTAGCTTAAGGCATCAAATTCACTGCAGCCCCACAATCGACCATCATCTTGGACATCGGCTTCTTATTGACGTAACCATTTATATAGAGTGGTTTAAGATGCCGATTCTCTGTCCCTTCCGGTTTCTCGAAGACTGCTTGTTCTGGCGACAAAAACAACTTAGCCGATTCCTCCTCAACCTCATCGACATCAGCTTGCTTGACCCCCAAACTTAGCAGGCAACGTGAAAACCATGTTAACCGATGCAGTCACAACGCTTTTCCCTTTGGCCAATCTCTTTGCTTCATCGGCCGCAGCCTCATCGGCTATAGGAGCTTGTTTCTTAACGCGCCACTCCTGCTTTGGCTTTGTTCTCTTTAGCCGATGATTGATTTCCTGTTCAACCTCCTGAAAACGTTCCCGGTTTCTCAATCTTTTGACCCTTCTCTTCTGATTCTTAGTAAAGATACCAGAAGGACACCATTGAGTTTTCCTGTTTTCATTGTCCTCTTGACCGTAATCTTGATTTACAGGACCCAATCTTTGATGAACAGGAACCCTTGTCTGCCCTGGCCGATTGCCTCTATTATACGATCGGCTTGAACTTTTTGCAGTATTGCCGCATCCAGGACAGTCTTCAATAGATGGCAGCCTCATACCCTCATTCCAACAAAATCTAAAGAACTCACGACCCCAATGAGGATCAAAACCGTCATCATCTTCCTCATAATGCTTCTCCTGCTGTTTGTCATACTTCCTTTGGTACTTATTGATGAACTTAGTCGAATTTACTTGAAAACCTCTTGTACGACCTCCATCGGCTGTTCGGCTAGCTGTATGCACTATATTGACAGGAAAAGGAGTGCCATCAACCTTCATCGGCCTCTTAGAATCACAAAATTTAATTTTGCCTCCTTCGATAGCCGCTTGGATCTGTTGCCTGAAGACCTTGCAATCATTAGTAGTATGAAACCCAGAATTATGCCACTTGCAATACCTTTTCTTGCCCAATTCTTCAACTGACGGAATTGTGTGACTAGCAGGAAGTTGAATCTGCTTCTCTCGTAGTAAAAAGTCAAAAATCTTGTCAACCTTGGTGATGTCAAAGTCATACCTCTCCTCTTTTCTAGAATTCTTCACCCATTGGCATGGTACAACCTTTTTGCTCCTTACCCATTCGGCTGTGGCTATTTCAAAATCATCATCCTCATCATCCGATCCACACATATAAGGACAGATATGATTAACCTTTCTAGAATTCCTCCTAGCTTCAGCAAACCTCTGCTCATGCAAAGTTACCTTTTGTGTAAGATGCGACAAGCTTTCAAAGTCCTCAGATGAGAATTTCTCCCTGATTGGAGCAATCATACCCTGAAAAGCCAAATCGGCTAACAGAGCATCAGTCAAACTTAAGCTGTAGCACTTATTCCTCATCTCTCTGAACATCTAAATATAATCGTGCACAGGCTCATCATGTCTTTGCTTGATTGCTGTCAAATCGGACAACTTCATCTCATGTACCCCACTATAGAAGTAGCTGTGAAAATGCTTCTCCAGATCGGCCCAACTGTTAATCGATCCATACAGTAAAGAAGAAAACCAAGTAAAAGCCGATCCAGACAAAGACAACCAGAACTACCTAACCCTCAAGGCATCCACAGCCGATGCTTCACCACACTGAGCTAAAAATCGGCTAACATGCTCAAAAGTTGATGTGCTATCTTGCCCTAAGAACTTTAAAAAATCTGGAACTTTAAACCGGTTAGGGAGAGGAACTCTCTCAAACTATTCAGGATACGGCTGTCGGTATAAATTTCCAGCATCTTTCGGCCTAAGCCCAAATTGCTCCTTCATGACATCCGCAATCAAATCGGCCCATGGTTGTTGCTGAGGCGTTCCTTGAGACTGCTGTGACATGGGCTCAAATTGGTTGTATTGAGGAACAAACTGGGGTTGAGCTGATCCCGCCTGTTGCTATTGAACTTGCGGTGACGGCGGCTGATACTTATAATTCAAATTGCCCCCTTGTAATTTTGAAAATCCGGCTGAATATTGCGCACCAAATGTTCAGGAATAACTTAAGGAATCACTGTGCTATATGGTTGTACGTGATGAACCAAGTGCTCCAGGACAACTTGATTTGCACTATGTTGCACAGGCTGACCACCAGGTATCGCAAACCCAGCCGATGCATTCACTAAGCCTTGCTGCTGAACCGGCTGAACAACTTGTTGCCTTAATGGCATCTATTGAATCGGCTGCAAAACCTGCCGTCTCTGTGGCGTCTGCTGAATTGGTTGCACAACCTGTTGGACTGGGGGTGTTTGTTGAATCGGCTGCACAACCTGCTGCCTTGGCGGTGTTTGCTGAATCGGCTGTTGCTGGGTTGGATCAATGGTATGTTGAGGAGGTAAGAACATAGATGCAACCTTGTCTTGGGTTAGCCGATTCACATTCCGTCCACTGTGCTATGATTGTTCTCTCACCAACAATCGAGGATTAACCAATTGGCCTGGAACCGAAGGTGGTGCAGCAGGCAGGAGCTGGTAATGGTGCCATCGGCTTAGCCGATGGTGCATTAATGGCCGACTGGACAACTGGTTGATTATCGGTGATTAGTGGCTGATAATTCGGGAACACCCCTCCTGGTAAGTAGACTGGTCCTGTAGCTTGATACTTGGCCATTGAACCATCAACCATTGACTTCACCATGTTTGCTAAAGTATTGGTTAATATTCCAGATTGATTGATCAAAGCATGCTGTACAGCATAGTCAACCTGATCTTGGAAGTTGTTGAACTGCAACTGTGTTGCATTGCCGTCTTGATTAGGGCCTTTACCTTGAACTCCCTGGGCACCATCACCTTGAACTCCTTGAACTCCCTGAGAGTTGTCACCTTGATTTCCATGAGAATCATCTCAGCACCTTTGTTGCTCGGTTGAGCCGAGCCATCTGGAGCTTGTTTCACTCCTCCATCCTTGGAAGAACCGGTCCCGGGGACATCAGCCACTTCTCTTACCTTGTACTTTTGCACCATTGTCCCCTTGCGGGTCTGCATAAATGAGTTTAAGAACTGGTTCCGTGCTTGCTGCATCATCGCTTCAAAATCTTTCTTTTGATCGGGTGTCAGCTTGTCTGGAGTAATGTTCACGATGTTGCCTTCATTAACCTCGTATTGGTCTAACTGCTGGATCTTCACTTTAACAGAACCTGGGCTAGCCAAGGACGGTGATGTCGGCGGCTTGTCGTCCATGAGAAAAGACTTCTGACTTCTAATCGGTCCCACTGGGCGTGCCAAAAGCGTGTTGATATAAAACACGAGGCCTAGGAGATCTGCTTAACTCCAGTGCAAGTCCAAAACTTGCTGTCGTAGGCTCTCCGGACCTTCCATTATAATTGAGAGATGAAATGTATAATTCAAGTCATCAAACAAGTATAATGAAATATCCGACGCCTCGAGAGAGGAATATTGGAGACATTGCCGGGCCTTTAGCCTGCCAGTCAACTTCAGCCTGAGATGTGCCCGTCAAACCACTCGAAGGCGGTGACCAGATGTGTTACACATTCAGGAGACTTGACAAAAATGGCTAAAGATCTACAACATCTCAAATATTCTTAACTCATACTCATGTGAATCTAGTTCCCAGGATGTGCACTAGATTCACACTTTCATCTCAAGCATGATTATACATAGCAAACACAAATAAGATGAAAGCGATTATAAACTACATCTACTTTAGTTACATTGGCCAACTGGCCAAATAAATATATAGAACAGCGGAAGCTTGTCTACCCAATCCACAAGCACACCGACTAGGGGTTTACCCCATTAAGCTCAAGTCCTAGAAGAAGCAGTCGAATACCCGCATTACTCAAAGACTAAATCTAAAACCTGCAAGCAAAAGGTTAATTCAATAGCAAGAGTCAGTACATTATTAGAAATAATGTACTGGCAAGCACCAAGACAAGCCTAAGACCCTACTTGCAAGGCATATAATCAAGGAAGGCATAATATGGTTCTTTTTAGCATAAAGCAAGTTTTATTTGCATAAAACATTTCTAAATCAGGCTTACTTTCAAATAAAATTTCAGCAAGCTAGTATTTGACATATTGGGCATCAAGGTAGGCATTAATCATGTATAAATATTCACCTCATTGCCATCCATGGCAGCAAGGAGATCATTCTCAAATCTCATCACAATTTGAAGGTAAATTTCATCATTTAGAAGAATAAACACAAGTCTATACTCAATACATATCCACACGCTGCTCATGACCGCGAGCACGGCTAATCGATTAGTTTTAACTCTGCAGAGTTTGTACACTTACCCACATGATGCGAAATAATAATCATGCAAAAGCATGGCACGCGATACATAAGTACCCGATTTATTACCCGCAACAAAGCTTTTCCAAAATTCATGATTTAGCCTTACACCAGCACGATACGTGTTCCTCCATCCTAGTCATACTGGAAATATGACCTAGAACCGTTAAGTGGCGGGCCCACGCCTTGAACTTAACGCCGTGGTGGCGGACACAACGGGAACCCACCCACGTGGCACAATACCGTTGTATTGGACAGACTTAGTCACCTAAACTACCACGTCGGGGTAAATAGGAAGTTCCTCTGAGTTATCCGAACTCATACACACCGGCCTACCAGAATATAAGGCTAAACCATAAATAATTTACTAAGCTTGGGCTATCCCATACTAGCACATGTGGTTGTACTGTATACGAAATGAACTGACATTGAGTGAAGTCCTTAGGTCGGTTTGGGCGCACTCTCCCCCTATCGGTACACAACTAATCACCATATGTGCACCACTTGAGGCCCAAACCTAAAATCCATGTTTTCCACCATTTTATTTATCAAAATCACAAGTATTAAAGTTCTGTCCAGATTAATTAAAAATCAATTTTCATGTTTGAAATGAGCCCATAATGACAAGGAAGACCATTCTAAGCATGGCTAAGCTTTATAGTAACCTAGTGTCACCAAAACTCATATATAAAGTGGTATAGCCATATTGTTCCTAAGGTTAGGAATGAGGAATATGGATATATGTGGAGTTAAGGTGATAATGCAAATAATAGGAGTTTATCTAACAAGTTTAACAAAATTTTAATTTATTAGTGTACAATCGACATGCAAGATTTGCAAACATTTTCAATAACCTCCAAAAGATAGGTTCAAAGTGATCAAAGAGAGGGAGGTGGGACTTGCCTTGAATCAGGAAAATGTCAGCACCTAAATCACTTCTTCACCGATTAAGCAATCATCTATACAAAGTACACGTTATGCAATTAAACACCGAAATATGCGAAAAATCCAAAATGTTCTAAAATGCATGATTTGTGCACAGAGAATAGGTACTGGTATAAAATGAATTTAGGTGAAAGAATTTCTATTTTATCTCATTTTATTTGGGAGTTATGAATTTTAGAAGTTTCGTCGGTATAGTGTAGGATTTACTTAGTTACTATTGTGAAATGCTGTTGTAAGGTGATTCTTATTAAGTTTATGTTTGCTGGGGTGAAGATATTTGTTTTCTAAGACTAACACATTTGGTTTCATAATTTTTAGAGTTAATATGAATTATTTATATATTTTACAAGTTTTAACGTGTTCTAGGTATATAGTCCCTATGTGTACATGGCTTTGGAGATTTAGGTCCAGAACTTGCTCTAACTTGCTAGTGTTGTATAAAATGAGTATTTTAGTTAACTAATCTAATCTTAGTTTATAAAATTTTAGTGTTCAAATTACTTTACTTCACATTTTATAAGCTAGGGGATGTTCTATGTTAGAAACTTAAGATATCAATCTGGAGATTATTATATGAGTTAAGGATACTAAGTTTTGGTGGAAGGGGATGGATCTATGCCTTCACTGGTTCAACAAGTTTTATTTGGATTTATTTGGAGCTACCATGCATATATATACTTTTTCATATGTATTGTTTAACCACTACTATGTGTTTAGTACCTATTCTACCAAATTAAGGTTCAGAGCCATGATCTGTAAGAGGGTGCTATAATTCACTCTACTAGGTTGAAGTATATTACTTGCTGGTTCTATAGAAAATTTGGTTCACTTCATTTAGACTATAGATGAATTTTCTACAAATGTTACAATTTAAGGTATGCTCCATGTTGCTTATTCCTTACTTAAATACTTAGGGGTTTTCATTATACTGTAAGTATGTCTTTTTATTTTATAACATTGAAGTGCACAACCCTATGATTCTACTGAATTTGGGTTTACTCAAAAAGGATCTAAGATGAATTTTATATAAACTTCTAAAGTTCAGCTTATGTAAAACTAGTCATTTTAAAGGTAATAGTTTTAGAGGCATTCGATGTATAGTATGTATACTATTTCATTTTTCTTTATAGGAGAACATAAGTTGGTGGATCCGTAGAAACTGAGTTTGTTCCAAAATGAGTTGAAATGAATTTTGTATGCATTTTATAAGTTTGTGCATGCTTTATGTGTGATTTAACTTGGATAAATTTTAGAGGCTAAATTTGTACTGTGAGTGCAAGTTTTTATTCCATAACACTAAAGTTCACAATTTGGTGAGTTCACAGAAATTTGTATCATCTTAAAATGAGCTATATTTAATTTTATATGGATTTTACAAGTTTTAGGTACTTTCCTTTTATAATTTCAGATTTTTGTTTCCAAGGGGTCCACTGCCAGTGAAAGATCAATATACAAAAAGATCCCTGAGGTTTCTAAGAATCAACCCGCAGACCTAGCCTCATATGTCAGTGAGTTGAAAAGTTGCACATTAAACCTTATAGTTGTTTAAATTCTCACGCACAGAGGCAGAACAGCCATGGCTGAGCTCGATCTCGAGCTCACCGGCGACAAACGATGGCTCGTTTGGGGGTGCAACCAAAATACAAAATGAAGATCATGTTATTTCGATTCCATTCCTCTACTTTTCTCGGTCAGTGGACATCGGAGTAACGCCGGCGGCGAGTCCGAAAGGAGGATGTTTTCGGGTGGTGATGCATGTACTTCTACAATCATGTATTGGTTAATTGGGTGCATGCATGTATGTTCTATAGGCTGAAGGGTGCTCACCAAGATGGTAGACATGGCTGGGGTAGCTAGGTTTATGACGGCGGCTCGTGTAACGGCTCGGCGGCGGCAAGAACCTCCGAATGAACGGCGATGGCTCAATCAGCTCCAAGAACTATCATGCATGTGTGTCCATGAGGTTAGAGAGGCCCCAGAGATGCTACTGATGCATGGAATTGGGTTGGTACTCACCGGAGGGGGTGGATTCGGCAACGGCGATGGTGACCAGAGGTGGAGAAGACGGTGGACGATCTCCACACTCGTAGCACCATCCTTCGAGATTCTTGAGGGGAAATGGAGAGGAGGTCGAGGCGAAGACGCTGGCGCGACAGCTTGGCCCGGCTTGGTCCAGATAAGCGGGAACGGCGATGATGTCACTGCGGCGGTGCACAGAGCGCGCTCTAGAGCGACCATGACATGGCGGCGTTCCCGCTGCTGTAGAAGATGAAATGGAATGGGATCAAAACCAAAGTTGTTCGTCATGGTGAGATGAGAATGGAACGAGTATGAGTTAGAGATGAAGAGAGCTCGACGACGGTTGGCGATGTCCCTCTTCTTGGCGGCCGGCAACGAAAGAGAGGTGGAGAGGGAGAGCTGGAGCTTCCTCCCTCGGTTGGATCGGCACTGGGATGGTGGGTGAAGAATGGTGACGCAGCTGGGTGGAGTTGAAGCCTCGGTTCGGCGCTGCCACGTCGAGGCCACGCGTCGTACACAGCCGGCGCCAATCTCTCTCTCTCGGCTGTCTCTGGTCCGGCTGGAAGATTTGCACAGGGTGAGGACGAGCCAGAGTGGCTGCCAAATGGGTCCAGGTCGTGGCAAACTAGGCTAGGGTGAGAGGGTTGGGCAGAAACGTGGGTGAACAAAAGGTTTGAATGATTTTAAGGATTATTTCTCTCTCCCACTTTAGTATTTCAATTATTTAATTTGTGGGTAGAATAATTTAGTGTGGATTTTTCTGAAGGTAGATGAAGATACCTAAATTCCATTTTCTTTGGTTGCACTCAAAAATTATGGATAGATTACTCACAGAAATTAGAGGAATATGGGTTCTTTGGAAACTAGTTCGAATTTTTAGGAGACCTAAACAGAGAAGATAAATTCTGGAAAAATTATTTTTATTCATGATAAATTACCTAGTATTTGAATAAATTATTTTACTTATACACTTTTATGCAGTTAAATGCACTTTTAGACAAAGTATGGTTTTAGCCGATTAAGAACTACAGTTAATCTAGTTTTTATTAGTTTGACTGATTTATTTGAGGTACCAAATTTAGTTATTAAATTATACCAAAATTACAGTGAGTTGTATGTGTTGATTAGAGCCTACATAAATTTTCCCATGATTTTATCTTGCATGAATTATTTTAGATAATTCGCAGGACTTATGTCTTATATGTGTTTCCCTTTCCTAAATGCATGTAAATGTTTATAAAAGTTATATTTGGACTCTCATTAACATGAGGTGATGTTGATATGTTAGAATTACAGTTTACCTTACACATGTCATAAGCTCCTTCCCTATTTATGCATAAGTTTACTTTAGTATTAAATTAAGAGAATGCTTATAGAGATGATTAAGATAGAATATACCCTATATGATATAATTTATTTGTTCACTTTCATGTTCATGACATGTCTTCAGATGGATGTCCAAATTAGTTTTGTGAGGCTTGACATTATCCATGTTGATTTTTTTTAAGGTGTATGGTTTCTGTGTATTATTTTCCATTAGTTAGCACTAGGCCCTAATGGTTTAGTTGTTTGTCTAGATTGCAATTATATTCATGAGACCTATTATGAAATGCAAATCGAAAATCCAAATGCATATGAAGGACTCAAGTCAAAATATGATTTATGCAAGTATGCATGCTTTCACTTGGGTTGCATCCAAGTCCTAGGTTAAAGATGAAAAAGTTTTTAATTTGTTCTCAAATTTTATTCTTGCAAGAGTTGGATCAACTCCACCTAGGTTTAAAATAGAAATTTTTGGTTTACAAAATTGAAGAACTTCCCTTTCAACTAGTTTTGATGGAAATTCCTTAATCCTAGAATTCAGGTATGTTACACTTGCCTTTGGGTATGCTAGCATGCCAGTTCATTTGATCCTGCAATCAACAAGAAATAAAGACAAAGAAACCGTGGTTAAATCCATAAATGATAGCCGATCGGCTAGGTGCCGATGACGTAACATTTATCTTTGAGCCGATGTCATATTTAAATCGATCGGCGGTTGTAAATAGATAATAAAGAATTAAATCTACTCGATTGGCCATAGATATTAACAATATATAATCCTGGTGTCGATATATAATTAAATCAAGTGATTGGGATAGATCGGTCACCGTGCCGAGACAGTATAAATCACTTAGATCGAAATATGTATTAACAACAAGACTATATATGTTCATAGCGTAGCCAATCAGATAGATATAGCATGTATCAGCAAATACTCCGATACAACTCTATGTTAAGATATTAAAACAAGCAGAATATATCAAACAGAAGCTTAATATACTTAGATGCAATAAGATCTTGACATAAAGGGCAGATTTAACATGTCAATAAAACACATAAAGCAAATGTAGTTAAATCAGGTAAGATTGGCTAAAACCCCGATGCTACCCTAATCGGCAACCAGAAGGCAGGCTAGAGTTGATATTCTAAGCACGACTTAATAGATCAAACTCAATTGATGCAGCATTAAGTATGAAAAGAAGAACAATATCTAGACAATCAAGCCGCTAGAAGTTTCATAGAGTGGTAGATATCTTATATAATCTAAATCAACGTCGATGTCTAACCTAATCGGTTGTCCTCTACTGAAAGATGTTAGCCGATTGTAGGTTAGATAGCGATATTGCCAGAGATTATGTAAGATATATGATAACTCGACGAATTACATAAACAAGATTAGAGTGTCATAAAAATGGAAGCACTAATCCCGAGAACGCAAGCCGTCATAACAAGTTTTACCTCTTGTTGAAGATCGAAACCGATGCAGCTCAACCCGAAAGCAAGAACTCGTCGAAATAAAACTAAAGAAAAAGGGTGGCGATGCGCCGAGATTGTATCGAACGTGTGTGTTAAATAATTACAAGGGGTTCGGGGTCAATTTATACCCGAGAATTACAAACTATCTCCATATCGGACACGACTCTTATCTCTAACAAACTCTAAGATATCATAAGTCTTTGCGGCAGACATTTGCCCAAACATATCTCTAAGGAAATTACATAAAATATCCTAATTAATAGATACAATTGCCTTCTCAAGACTCTACCCACGTGTGGCAATCATCTTGAAGCATATCAACTCAACCCGATGACGTACACCGAGTTGTATTGACGGATTCAACTCAATCGGCTAACCTCGTCCGACTCGAACTCTGCCGATCTTAGCCGTAGCCGACTCGGACTTCAGCCGATTCTTACTCTGTTCCCGAATTGATCTTTGCCTTTGACTCCGCTTCGATCTAATCCTCTTTTCTGATGGTGATATTACCAAATTCGGTCGTTAACACCACAAAAATAAATTTTCCATGCTTCCATGTGCTTTCTTCTCAGAAAAAAAGCTCCTTTTGAAAAAAAAAGAAAGGGGAGGGAAAGGCATGGTTATGAAATGAAAAAAAAATAAATAAAGTTATACTCCATCAAGCATGAGCATGATGTTAAAAGAAATTTTTGTAGCCATGCCCACTTCCAATAAAAGAAGGATTTTTGGGAGAAAGAAAGTAAATCAAAAAGGAGAAGCATTAAGAAAGTAAATCAAAAAGGAGAAGCATTTTCTTTATTTTCTTCATGCACCATTTACACCATATATCACACACTTTATGCACGATCTTGATCTTGAGTATGTTTAGTTATCTGCTTTAGTCTAAGTTTTTGACTTAGTAATAAATGTGAATGCAAGTATACCATGATTGATCCCTACCGAGCGCCACATATCAAAACCTTAGAGTAGGAATCAACAAGGCAACATTTGGTGAGGAATTCATTTTGATACACTTAGAGAGACTGAGTGAATCACTTGAGGAACTTGGTTTTGTTTTTCAAAATCATTTGAAAACTTCCGGAACAAGAGTTGAATAAAGATCGGGTGATTGGTGCTTTAATTGCTGTTCTGTCTTTCAACCGCTCAAGGCAAGGAGAAGCAGTGTCTCGTGGGAATCAGGGGTAAGGGTAAGCCACCGTGCCAAAAATTATTTAATCTAAGAGAGAGTACATATACCTTGCACCTGTATCTTTGAGATATGCAGCATAGTAGCAACTCCTGATCAACAACCAAGTCATTGTTTCCTTTCGTCCTTCACTCGGGACGAGCAAAGGTTCAAGCTTGGGGGTTTTGTTGACGGTCATTAACGATCAGTTTCGACCATCAATATTACTAAAACATGAGAGAACTAGTGATGCTTGCAATGCATAAATATGTTAGAATAATAATATTCCACTAGTATTAGGTCTACTAACCTTTTGCAGAGAATGACAATAAAGTGAAGGAGAATCGACATCAAGTCAGACGATAAATCAATCGGACGATGTCGAGAACCAGACTTGTGTATGAATGGGCCAAGAACGCAGACTTGACACGATGAATCAGGCCAAAATTCACAAGTCTACGAAGTGAAGCAGCAGAGGAGGCCGCCAGCCAAAGTTGGGCTGGATTGGGCCAGCCCCATGTTCGGACGAACCTTGTGGTTCGGCCGAACCTGCCTCGCCTCCGTTGGATCTAGGTTTTGGTTGTACGGTGTAGATGAAGCCCCTATGACGGTTGGAGGGTATTACCGACCATTCCAATCGTCACAACCGTCATAGTTCAGCTAGAAAAGGACTTCACCTTCTCACTTCACCCACACACTTCAAGCAAGAGCTCTCTCATTCCTCTCAAGTTTAGTTTAGTAGTATCTAGCTGGTGGAATAGAATTAGAATAGGAAGCAGGAGTCTGGAAGCCTTCGGAAGAGTTCGGGTACGGCTCTAGTAGCTTTTCTTTCCTCTTTTGTAAGCTTTGTACTTTTATTAAATACTCTTCTATATACATTTATGGTATTGAAATACTTTCCGAGTATATGAGTACCAACTTTACATTATGTTCATGTTATACTAACTGTACGGCTAGCTTATCTGGGAGATGCTTTGGTGCGGGTATAGTGTTTGCATATGCAATTACTCTATGTCATGACGATGATATTAGAGTAGTATCTGGTAAGTTAGACGTGGTGTCTAGATTATGGGATATCATTATTTGGGGTTATATATTGCGGATGAGAGGTGGGCCGCTGATGGTGACAGCTCAGTACGGGTATTCCTCCGCGCCTATATATAATCCTAAGTTAATTTCATGGGGCGGGTATTCCTCCGTATTTAGCCCTGGTTGGATGGTCATGACAGGCTGTCGTAAGGAACTCGGCAATCAGGGGTGGCTTCTCGAAGTACTAGGAGGGCATCGGATAGAGGGTAAGCCACCGTGCCAAAGATTATTTAATCTGAGAGAGAGTACATATACCTTGCACCTGTATCTTTGAGATATGCAGCAAAATAGCAACTCCTAATCAACAACCAAGTCTTTGTTTCCTTTCGTCCTTCACTCGGGACGAGCAAAGGTTCTAGCTTGGGGGGTTTTGTTGACGGTCGTTATCAATCAGTTTCGACCG